TTGATTGAAAAGTTAATTATATTTATTTTAATTATATATATATAAATAAAAATTAGATTCTTAAATAGAACTTGGGAATAGTCTTTTTTTTTTTAAATAGAAATTAAATCGCGTATTCTGTGTTGTTGAAATAAAAATTAATGTAAAAATTTACCGAACGCGTTGCTACCCCATCCGGTTCCATAACACCGAGTACCGGCTGCAAAATTCATTCCTTGTTGTGGTAAACAAATAGGTATCACGTTAGTTGCATAATTAACTGTCGAATTTAAAATCAACACTGCTATGTCATGGAATAAACCAGCGTTATAATAAAGTGGATGAGGTATGATTGCTTTAACGTATTCTTCTTGAATAGATTCATTTGTACTTTTAACATTCCATTGTCCAAATCTGGCAACCAATACTCCACTTTCTCGACTATCAACAAAATATAATACAAATTTTAACAATACGATTATTACTTTGTTTTTTTTTTGTTTTTATAGAATTAATTGTTCCTGTGTCAAATATTTGGTTTTGTAAAAAACAGAATTAATGTACTTGGTAACGCAATGTGCAGCAGTCAAGACAGCCCCATTGTTGATCATAGAACCCCCACAGAGATACAAATATTTGCCATCGGGTTGTTTTATGAAAAGCGATACCATCCATGGAAATTCCGCGTAATATGTTTTTCCCGAAGATGTTGGATAAGGTGTTGCTAAAGAAAAAAGATCAATAATTATTTAATAATCATAATATAACGATTAATACACGCTTATCAAAATATTTCGTTAACGTATTGAAAATTTCACCTGGTGCATAAGCAGTACCACGTATACCGCAAACAACTTGAACAGCTAATGAATCTACCGGGTCATTAATAACAAGATCACGTGAACCCGCTTGAGAATCACTATTAATTCCAACTATACCAGGTGGTCGACAACAAACTTCATCAGCATTAGTACAAATAGTAAATCGTGGATCGATTATACCAGCACCATCGATATTAACGATGTATCCATCATTACAAAGCCATGATTTGACACAGTAACAAGCATTAACAGTACCAGGAAATTTCATTTGTCCAAGACCATTAATGATGACAGTTGTATCGATGTTAGTTATCGGTCCAGTTCCTTGGCAGCAAGTATTAACGTTAGAACATGTTATTATTTGTGGCGAATTAATTAAATTCGTACCAGTTGGTAGAATCAAATTAGCACCGTTAACGCATTGCAAATTATTACCACAAACGAAACAAATTTGTCCATTATTGTTATACGGTTGTACGGTTGGCGTTATAACGGTTGGTATCACGTTAGATGATAATTTGCAACAAACTTGTCCAGCACCTGGACAAATGAGTGTCTGTTGACGGGGAATGATTATACCTTCACCGGATGAACCTATCACTATCACGTTTTGGGGATCACATTGCCAAGAATATACGCAAATACAATTGATACCAGGTATTCCTGTTGGTAGGATTGTTATTGGGGCTGTCGGGAAAATAATTGTAGGTGCTGTTGGTGTTGTCGTTGGTGGACTAGTTGGACGTGGTGTAGTAGTAGTAGTAGTAGTAGTAGTAGTCGTTGGTGCTTTAGTTGTCGTAGTAGTAGTAGTAGTGGTCGTTGGTGCTTTAGTTGTCGTAGTAGTAGTTGTAGTGGTAGTTGGTGCTTTAGTTGTAGTCGTGGTTGTTGGTTGCGTTGTCGTTGTCATTTGAGTTACGATATTAGCGTTCGGTAAATTACAACACACTTCTAAATCTCCGGTACATCTTCGATATCTACAAAAAAATAATCGAATTTAATTTTGTTTTTGTTGAATCGAGATCCAATAAAAATCTTACCTGATATCGATGGTACCAGTACCATCGGTGATAACAGTTCTGTTAACATCGCACAAATAATACGGTACGCAAATGCAATCAGTAGTAGGTGGTGTACTACTGATTTTGTCCAACTTTTGATATTTGTATTTGTGCAGGTGAAAAAAGGACGGTGAATTGTATTGATGATCGATTGGTTTCTTGATTAAATTAATCGACGAATAAGACGATTCGATAGATTTTAACGTACACTCGATCGTTACTATCGATATCAACGCGATGATTTTAAATAGAAAATTATTAGGAGACATGACAAAATCCTAGATCCTTTCTAGTCGACAACTCAACTTTCATTGAATGAGATTTTTATTTTGACATAGAACACTATGTCTACGTAATTTGTTTTTCTTTTTTCTTTTTTTTTTTTTTGTTTCTGTGGTGACAGGATACGTGTAGCTAGTACTTTCCGGTTTATGGGGGAATATCTAGATTTAGATACGAAACTAATAGCTCGCGTTTGCTTTTGTTACCGGAGTAAATTACTGAATCTAAAACGTAACTACTATACGAACAATAGACGGTTAATTCTTATCTATCCTATTTGTTAATAAAATTATATACTCATTAAACAGTGTCACCTGGCGTTTTCTATTTTATATGATATTTTTTATTCAAGGTTTTTTTTTTTTTAAGAGAATATCATTGGATATCATTTTATTATAACGAATGTATTTTAATTAAATGTTTCGGATAAAAAAAAGAAAAGAGATCAATTAATTTTTATTTCTTGTGCGTTCATATTTTATTATATTAATTATTATAAATTATCGTGCAACAATTCTGACGATTTATTATTTTGTTCAAATGAAAATACAGTATTTCATAATTTGCACACAATATTTCTTTTAATATTGTTTGGATTTTTATTTTTAAATTATTATTATTATAACATTAACAGAAAATTATTTAAAACTCACTATTCGAATTTTCCAAAATCGATAAACGTATGTATAGGTCGTGTTATCAATAAATTATTATTTAAAAATTATTCTTTTTTTTTTTCAATGATATTTTTTTTGTGAAAATAATTTGATGACAATGATATTCGATCTATCAAATGGTCACAGTGATTTATTTAGAAAGATATTACAATCAACTTGGCGTGACGAATGCTGACCTAGTGACCTACTTAACACTTAACTTATTACTGTGACCATTCAGATAAATAGTATTTCATTTAAAATTTAAATGCTCGGTATATAATATTTATTTCTTTTTTTTTATATATATAATTGATAATTGTTTCGATAGGATTCATTATTAGATCGTTTAATCGTCACAAAAATCATCAATTTATTTGAAATACTTTATAAACTAAATTTACAATGTAAATTTATAAAAATTTATATAAGTTGCAATAGTTCATTTTATTTTAACATCTGTTTAGTGTTCGATGATATAAATTGAAATGAAATTCAACGTATTCGTATATAGCAAGATTTTTCACAATTGAAAATAAATAAAACAACACAAATTACACGTCTGATCATTTAAATTATTTACTCGTACACGATTCGTAAGGTACGTTGCGAATTTTATTTCTTAATTAAATAATATAATTAAAAAAAGAAAATGGATTATAAAAGATAGACGATTAAAAAATGTTTGAATAAAATTATTATGTTGGCAGGGGAGGGGGTAGGTAGAGAGGGAGAAAATAATTTAACGATTCGAACAGAGATATAATTTACAATTTGAACAATGTATTTATATATAACATTGTTATTCAATATTACACAAAGTTATATTTACAATTCAAAAAATGTTAATTATTAACATAATAGTATTATTTTATATAATATCATTTAGAAATATACAGATTAATATAAAAATAAAGTAATGGAAGTATATATATATATATATAGGATATTATA